TCCTTACCAGGCTGCGGGGTCGTACTCGGCCCAGACGCGGACGTACTCGTCCAGGTGGTGGGGGCCCAGGATGGAGGAGTCGCGCGTCAGGTACTCGAAGTTGTCCATGATGACGGCCACGAAGAGGTTCAGCATCTTGGGGTTGGGGGGGACACAGAGGTCAAGGGGGGGGTGTCAGGGTGGGGTGGGGGGGTCGAGATGGGGTGTCCCCATCCACCCCTGTGTCCTCGTCCCCACCCAGGGCTCACCAGGAAGGAGCAGAGGAAGATGAAGGAGACGAAGTAGAAGTAGGCGAACTCGTTGCCGCACTCGTCCTCCTTGATGCCCGAGTTCTGGTCGCAGGGCTTCCCGCTCAGGCAGGACAGCATGATCTCGTGCCAGGCCTCCCCGGTGGCACTCCTGGGCACGGGGTGGGGGGACACACACACCGGTGGGTGACCCCAGACCCCGGTCGGGGAGGGGGGGACACAACGGCACGGCACTGGGTACTCTGGGTGGGACTGGGAACACTGGATGGCACCAGGACGATGCCATGGGGACACACCACCATGGCACTAGGTACCCGATGGCACTGGTCCGTGCTGGGGGGACACACTGTTGTGGCACTGGGACCACTGGATGGCATGAGGACCATGCCATGGGGACACACCACCATGACACTGGGTACCCTGGGTGGCACCATGTACCTTGGGAGGCACTGGGACCCCTGGGTGCGACCAGGACCATGCCATGGGGACACACCACCATGGCACTGGGTACCCCAGGTGGCACCAGGACCACACCACCATGGCACTGGGTACCCAATGGCACTGGTCCATGCTGGGGGGACACACTGTTGTGGCACTGGTTACCCCTGGATGATGATGGAACCATGCCAAGGGGACACACCACCATGGCACTGGGTACCCTGGGTGGCACTGGTCCATGCTGGGGGGACACACTGTTGTGGCACTGGGTACCCTGGGTGGGACTGGGACCACTGGATGGCACCAGGACCATGCCATGGGGACACATCACCATGGCACTGGGTACCCTGGGTGGCATGGGGTACCCCAGGTGGCACCAGGACCACACCACCATGGAACTGGGTACCCCTGGATGATGATGGAACCATGCCATGGAGACACACCACCATGGCACTGGGTACCCTGGGTGGCACCAGGTACCCCAGGTGGCACCAGGACCACGCCACCATGGCACTGGGTGCCCGATGGCACTGGTCCATGCTGGGGACACACACTGTTGTGGCACTGGGACCACTGGATGGCACCAGGACCATGCCATGGGGACACACCAGCATGGCATTGGGACCCTAGGGTGGCACCATGTACTCCAGGTGGCACCAGGACCACACCAGCATGGCACTGGGTACCTCTGGATGATGATGGGACCATGCCATGGGGACACACCACCATGGCACTGGGACCCCATGGTGGCACTGGTCCATACTGGTGGGACCACTCACCGGAAGAGGAGCATGAGGGCCTGGAAGAAGGTGCGGAAGTTGTTGTGCTGGGTGATGGCCGACTCATCATCCTCCTCCTCGATGCCGATGTTGCCGAAGACCTGGGGGGGCCGC